TCGGGCGAGCTAGGACCGCGGGGTGACGCCGCGGCAGCGGCGCGACCGCGGGATTTACCCACCACACTGGCCAACCACGCGGCCGCCATTTTGGCGGGAACGCACGGCGTGGAGGCCGCCATTTCCACTCACCCACCAGCCACGCAGCGGGACGACCCTGCGCTGTTGTCGGACAGGAAACTGATAATTTGGTAGTTCAATAATTAAAAAAAATCATCAACGGGGATAAAATTGAGATAGGTCGGTAGTTATTTGTATCATCTTTAAAGCCCCCTTTGTGAAGTGGATGAACATACAGTGAGGGAAAAAAGTATTTGATCCCCTGCTGATTTTGTACGTTTGCCCACTGACAAAGAAATGATCAGTCTATAATTTTAATGGTAGGTTTATGTGAACAGTGAGAGACAGAATAACAATAAAAAAAATCCAGAAAAACGCATGTCAAAAATTTAATAAATTGATTTGCATTTTAATGAGGGAAATAAGTATTTGACCCCCTCTCAATCAGAAAGATTTCTGGCTCCCAGGTGTCGTATACAGGTAACGAGCTGAGATTAGGAGCACACTCTTAAAGGGAGTGCTCCTAATCTCAAATTGTTACCTGTATAAAATATACCTGTTCACAGAAGCAATAAATCAATCAGATTCCAAACTCTCCACCATGGCCAAGACCAAAGAGCTCTCCAAGGATGTCAGGGACACATTTGTAGACCTACACAAGGCTGGAATGAGCTACAAGACCATCGCCAAGCAGCTTGGTGAGAAGGTGACAACAGTTGGTGCGATTATTCGCAAATGGAAGAAACACAAAATAACTTTTCAATCTCCCTCGGCCTGGGGCTCCATGCAAGATCTCACCTCGTGGAGTTGCAATGATCATGAGAACGGTGAGAAATCAGCCCAGAACTACACGGGAGGATCTTGTCAATGATCTCAAGGCAGCTGGGACCAGAGTCACCAAGAAAACAGTTGGTAACACACTACGCCGTGAAGGACTGAAATCCTGCAGTGCCTGCAAGGTCCCCCTGCTCAAGAAAGCACATATACATGCCCGTCTGAAGTTTGCCAATGAACATATGAATGATTCAGAGGACAACTGGGTGAAAGTGTTGTGGTTAGATGAGACCAAAATGGAGCTCTTTGGCATCAACTCAACTCGCCGTGTTTGGAGGAGGAGAAATGCTGCCTATGACCCCAAGAACACCATCCCCACCGTCAAACATGGAGGTGGAAACATTATGCTTTGGGGGTGTTTTTCTGCTAAGGGGACAGGACAACTTCACCGCATAAAAGGGACAATGGACGGGGCCATGTACCGTCAAATCTTGGGTGAGAACCTCCTTCCCTCAGCCAGGGCATTGAAAATGGGTCGTGGATGGGTATTCCAGCATGACAATGACCCAAAACACACGGCCAAGACAACAAAGGAGTGGCTCAAGAAGAAGCACATTAAGGTCCTGGAGTGGCCTAGCCAGTCTCCAGACCATAATCCCATAGAAAATCTGTGGAGGGAGCTGAAGGTTCGAGTTGCCAAACGCCAGCCTCGAAACCTTAATGACTTGGAGAAGATCTGCAAAGAGGAGTGGGACAAAATCCCTCCTGAGATGTGTGCAAACCTGGTGGCCAACTACAAGAAACGTCTGACCTCTGTGATTGCCAACAAGGGTTTTGCCACCAACTACTAAGTCATGTTTTGCAGAGGGGTCAAATGCTTGTTTCCCTCATGAAAATGCAAATCAATTTATAACATTTTTGACACGCGTTTTTCTGGATTTTGTTGTTGTTATTCTGTCTCTCACTGTTCAAATTAACCTACCATTAAAATTATAGACTAATCATTTCTTTGTCAGTGGGCAAACGTACAAAATCAGCAGGGGATCAAATACTTTTTTCCCTCACTGTAGGAATGTTTCCACTCAAGAGTTACTGATGCTTCTTTGATGGACAGGTTGAAAATATGGGCTATAGGTTTGTATATTAGGTGACCAACAGTTCGCAGAGCAAATACGGGAATACTATCTGCTCCGGCAGAGGAGGACCCTTTGAGGTAGGACAGTTGTTTCAGAACATTACTTTCGTGGATTGGCTGGAAATTAAATTCGTTTAATGTTTGAACAGGGGTGTAGGAATTTGCATGAGCAGGGGTGACTTCCAATACATTATCAAAAAGGTTACCAGCTTCAGAAAAATGAAGGTTAAAATTGTCAACTATTTGTTGGGGATCTGAATTTTTTCCCCCATTTCGGTTAAGCTCAATGGACAGCTTATCTGTTTTCGATGCCTTTTCGAAACATTTGATTGTTTCCAAGAAAATCCTGGCATTTCCATGTGATTCCAGGAGAGTGGAGGAAAAGTAGGCATTTTTTGCGTTCCGTATTTTTTTGACGCATCTATTTCTTAAAATCTTGTATTCTAGCCAGTCATTAACCAAATTACTTTTCTGAGCACATGCCAAAGCCTTGGCCCTAGTTTTCATGAGCTTAGTAATCAAAGGATCAAACCATGGTGAGTGGTTGCCTTTAGTTTTAAATCTAACCAACGGAGAATGTTTTTTTAGAATTTGTAGAAATGTGTACCTGAAGGTCTCCCAAGCCGTAGTCAGGTTGGGGATATCACAAACCTTGTCAATATCCAAGTGAAGCACATCATTAGTAAATGCCTGAGTGCTGAAGTGTCTCATGGAGTGCTTCTCAACCAATTTAGGGGGGGCTTTGGGTCTGGCTGATGATCTCACCCCAAAAATTAAGGAGTTATCACAAGGTTATTACCCAGAACACCAGTCAGTGTGAAATTGTGAGGGGCATTTGACAATAGGACGTCAAGCAGAGATGACTGTTCCGGATTTTTTAGGTTGGGTCTTGTGGGGACATTATCTGATTATCTGAACCGGCTCTGGGCCTCCCCTAGTTCGACTCAGCCTCAAATGATAACCTGGTGCAGTGTATAGTAGACTAGGGTGACAAAGGCGGCCTGGTGGGTGTGGTGCTGGCCACTCACCGCCTAGAGTCTGTGTGGGCTACACGGGGGAGCTTTGTCTCTGCACGACACAGAGCAGTGAGCCGCAGCCACGTGACTGAGTTGAAGGCGAGCAACTCCACAGGCGTCTCACAGCTCGAGAACGAGACACCCGACACATTGTTTACTTGTCTATGGTTCTTGCGGTAAAGTCACGTAGATAGAAAAAAATAATAACAATAAAATAATTAATATGAAAAGAAAGTGAATAAATCTTGATTTGAAGCTTTCGTGACTGCAGGAATCCATACTCGTTGGTTCTTTTGGTAAAGTCACTCCGTCACTATGTGACTTTACCGAAAGAACCAAAAAATAAAGTGAATAAAAAATAATTATTTGTATTTTTTTTTATCTACGTGACTTCACCAAAAGAACCATAGAATATGAATCTCTGCAGTCACGAAAGTTTTAAGTCAAAATTTTATAGTTTAATTAAGTAGTTCAACGATTTAAATAAGCAAGAAAAAGTGAAGCTGAAATATAAAATATCGCGGAGCAGAGAGGGAGAGGCAACCGAATGAGAACAAGTATTCATACTGGTGGAATCCGATGAGCTATAAAGCTCTTTTTCACAGATGTCCAGTCGGGGCAGGTCAGAACGTTATAACAACAACAAGCAATAGAACAACACGACAGGAGTACAAAGCATAGGAAAGGCAGACAAATCACTTCGAGACATTTATAGAAATAAACTACAAATATTTTGTTGTATCATACGAGATGAGGCCCCACTGAAATATTAGATATTTTCTCAGACGCGACCTGGCCAAAATGATGGCTCAATTTAGTAACTCATCATCATCACGTGCAAATGTACAGCAGCAAAATAATCAAAATCATTTAGATGCAACGAGTTTACGAGCAGCGTTCCCCTCCAAGTTCAGTTGAGACGACGTGATGAGTTGAGGAGATATTGAGGTGAGTTGAGATGAGGTGAGGTGTGTGAGGATGAGGATTTGAGACGAGGCGACGTGACCCCAGTCTTTATTCAGCCACCCATGGAGCAGAGACGTCGATGCTCGTTCGGGCGTCCACACATTCCAGGGCGTGTCACGTGATATGCAAATCAAACCGAAAGTGTTTGTACCGCACTTCACTTTCTCACATTCACGAGGCTTGTTACTGTGTTTGCGCCTCATACGCAGCCAGCGACTGCCTAAGATACAGCCAGAGACTCTCTGTGTTACAGTAGGAGACTGCCTGAGATACATCCAGCGACTGCCTGAGATACATCCAGCGACTGCGCTACAGCCAGCGACTGAGCTACAGCCAGCGACTGCCTGAGCTACATCCAGTGACTGCCTGAGCTACAGCCAGCGACTGCCTGAGCTACATCCAGCGATTGAGCAACATCCAGTGACTGCCTGAGCTACAGCCAGCGACTGCCTGAGCTACATCCAGCGACTGAGCTACATCCAGTTACTGCCTTAGCTACATCCAGTAACTGCCTGAGCTAGAGTGGCTGCCTGAGCTACATCCAGCGACTGAGCTACATCCAGCGACTGCCTGAGCTACATCTAGCGACTGCCTGAGCTACAGCCAGAGATTGCCTGAGCTACAGCCAGAGATTGCCTGAGCTACATCTAGCGACTGCCTGAGCTACATCTAGCGACTGCCTGAGCTACAGCCAGTGACTGCCTGAGCTACAGCCAGAGATTGCCTGAGCTACATCCAGCGACTGCCTGAGCTACATCTAGCGACTGCCTGAGCTACAGCCAGTGACTGCCTGAGCTACAGCCAGAGATTGCCTGAGCTACATCCAGCTACTGCCTGAGTTACATCCAGCGACTGCCTGAGCTACAGCCAGCGACTGCCTGAGCTACAGCCAGTGACTGCCTGAGCTACAGCCAGCGACTGCCTGAGCTACAGCCAGTGACTGACCTAGATCCAGCGACTGCCTGAGCTACATCCAGCGACTGCCTGAGCTACAGCCAGAGACTGCTTGAGCTACATCCAGTGCCGTCTCTGAGTGGAGCCACGGGGCCATGGCGAGTGCGGCTCCCAGTGGTAGCGAGGCTCCAGGGGAGTTGACCTGCTCCATCTGCCTTGACGCCTTCCGCTGCCCTTGCACGCTCAGCTGCGGCCACTCGTTCTGCCTCGAGTGCATGGAGGGCTACTGGGATGCGGCCGAGTCCTTCTCCTGCCCACAGTGCCGAGTGACCTTCCCTCGGAGGCCCAAGCTGAACAAGAGCGTGACGCTGGCCAACCTGATGGAGCAGCGCAGTGCCGCAGCGAAAATGACCGCCGTGGTCTTGTGTGACTTCTGTAACGATGGCACGACCTCTGCCTCCAAGACCTGCCTCAAGTGTGATACCTCCTACTGTGTGACTCATGTAAAGCCTCATCAGGAGAACCCGAAGTTCAGGGACCACATTCTGGTGGATCCAGTCACGAATCCTGAAGAACGCCGACAGGACGAGAGCTTGGTCTGCACAACCTGCACCATAGCAGGAGACCACAAGGGTCACGATGTGGCTACGCTAGAGGACGAGCACAAGACACGGGAGGTGAGACGGTCTGCGTGTGTGAGTGGGAGCCCCTCCGTCGTGAAGGCATCATTTCCCAGTACGAACTGAACAATAATATCTAGCAAAATATCATTCCTCTCTCAGCTGCTCATTGTTTCTTCACATTTTAACCTTGTTTCAACATAAAATATGCTGAGGTTGTCATAGTACAGAAATAATACAACCACAAGTTATTATCAATCCTGTTATATGACACATTTATAAATGTGCTCTTAGTATATATTTTTTAAACTGAAGGACTTTAATGCGTAGTTCGTGTGAAGTGGTTTGTAAAAGAAATGTAGTTTGTGGTAGAGCGAAGCATTCTCTAAAATGTAAACTAAATGTAAAACGACTGGGACTGCGTGAGCCGTAGTGCTCACCACTTGGTAGCCTCATGCCGGTCCGTGCCAGTTTTTCGCCGCACTCTACAGCAGCTACTGGGTCACTGGACTTGCGTTCCAGAAATGTCGCATGATTTTGACAGACCAAGTATTTCGTGACCGTATTTTATTTTCATCAATATGCTCTCTACCGAATTTCTCCAACACTCAACAGAGACATGGCAGCCCTTCCTTTTGCCATGTAAAATTTTACTACAACTATTTTTTATTTTACCAGGTGAAGCTCACTGAGCTCAAAGAAGTGGCTTGTGAAGTCGAAATTCATTGCAGCCACATACTCCAAATGTTCGTTTATAAATATAGAAGGAAAAACCGGAAGACCCGGAGACAAATCTATGCAACTATAATGGGCTCAATATAGGTGCACACAACTTCTTGGGAGGCAACACTATGCATTAACTCAATGTACACTTAACATAGGGTGGTGACCACCGACCTATTCTAACTAACACACACCATCACTCACTACTGGCTGGTCCGCTGACTGGAAGCTTGACTCTTCTTCAAGAGGCTTCTTCACGAGGCATCTTCTCTCTTGACACGAGCAGCCCTGAACCCGGTGAGGAGTCCGCTTATATGCACCTCGGCGTGTCCGGGCCACACCCCGACCACGCCCACCTACGAGAACTCTCGAGAAGCTCCTCTGCTGTCCACGTGGCGCCCCCCCCCCCACCTTAATCTGTTAACGTGTCCAGCCGGGTTCACTCCGAGTGCCACGGCCTCACACAACCCCCATGGCCCTCACCCATGGCCACCAGATCCCCTGAACCGGCCCTGACGTCATTCCCACCTCCAGACGGGATGACGTCATGTGTGTGTGTGTGTAGACCCGCGTAGTAGTGACGCTCCCCCGCATAGTGACGTCACACATGTGCGTGTGTGTCTGTACACATTAGTGATGCTACAAGTCACTACATCAACCCCCCCCCCCCCCCACGTGAAAATACAGCCGAACCAGCTGTGACAATACCCCCCAAAAAAACCCGTGCGCCTCCAACAAAAACTCCTATAAATAACCAAAGGGAATACATTCCGCAAGAACATATGTACAAATAACAGAACACACAACGAACCATGCGGCAACAGGGAATGATAAACACATTCCACGAAAACGGGGCAACCCCAACGGCAATCCTGTGGGTGAAACCACAAAAAGACACATGCGTGCTTGCAACAAATAAAAAAACTGCAGAGCACTACGCACACGTGAAAGTGTTATTTGAAGCGAGCAGTGCGGGAGCGAGTCCTTGTGGCCGGACCCCCAGGTGCGGCGATCCGAAGCACCCCGGAGGGCAAGTGGGCAACTCCCTTACAGGTGGGGGCCCGCGGCCTCTCCGGCGAGGGCGGCAGGGCTGGCGGAGGACCACTGGGTGGCAGCCTCACCGCTCGGAGCGGGCCTTAGGGACGAGCAGCTCCAGACGGCTTGGAGGGGGTCAAGAGCTCCGATCTTGAGGGCGGGACCACAGACCCACCCTGAGGGAGCACCTCAACCGGTGCATCCCCCAGCTCGCCCGGCGCACCAGACACGCGGCCCTCGGGAATTGGGGATGAATGAACGCGGCGGGGTGGAACGAACAGTTTAAGCCACGACGGGTGAACGAACAAAGTCTGATGATCGAACCGTATTTTATCGCACTGGACGAGAGCTCCGTCGTCGTCCGCCTCTCCTGAGGAGTGCCTCGCAGGTTGCCTATGGCGTGTGGTCCTTGCACCTTAACTTTTGCCACTTCTGACACCATATGTAAATAGCTCAAAATAGGTGCACACAACTTCTTGGGAGGCAACACTATTTATTAACTCAATATACACTTAACATAGGGTGGTGACAACTGACCTATTCTAACTAACACACATCATCACTCACTAACACGGACTGTCGGATACAACTAGCGTGACCCAGCCAGAAAGGCTACTGGCTAGTCCGCTGACCGGAGGCTTGACTCTTTTTCACGAGGCGTCTTCACGATGCATCTTCTCTCTTGACACGAGCAGCCCCGATCCCGGTGAGGAATCTGCTTATATGCACCTCGGCGTGTCTGGGCAACACCCCGACCGGGGCCCCCGGCCCCTACCTTGATCCGGTAACGTGTCCAGTCGGGTTCACTCCGAGTGCCACGGCCTCACACAACCCCCGTGGCCCTCACCCATGGCCACCAGATCCCCTGAAACGGCCCTGATGTCATTCCCGCCTCCAGTCGGGATGACGTTATGTGTGTGTGTGTAATCGAGATTTGAAGTTTTCGTGAATGCAGGGATCTATACTTTTTGGTTCTTTCGGTAAAGTCACGTAGGTATTAAACAGAATAAATTAAATTTCGATTTAAAGCTTTCGTGACTGCAGGGATTCATCTTCTTGGTTCTTTCGGTAAAAAAAAATAAAACAAAAAAAAATAAAACATTATTATGTTTTATTTTTATTATTTTATTATTTCCCTTCTATGTGACTTTACCGAAAGACCCAAAAAGAAGAATAAATTAAATCACGACATTTCGGGTGCAACACAAGCGTCCGTCATCAGGTGGGACAACCACAGCAAGAAACAACTGCTGAAGTGGAGGGGGGAGGGGCCAGGGAGGAGAGACAGAGAGGGGGGGAGTTTGGGGTAGAGAGAGTGGAGGGCTGCCGAGTGAAGAGCAGCTAGAAGGGATCAAAGGGCAAACGCAAAAGCATAAGCAAAAGGAGATGTGGATATGAAGGCAACACGATAAAGCATTTAAGGTTTTACCTGATTAATAACATCCTTCCAATGATTGCTCAATTTGTATCCATCTTCTCGGTTGAAGTTTTGTCTGTTTATATCTCTGGATGGCTTCATGAACAAAGTTTAGATAGTAGTCTGATAGTTTGCAGAGTACCTTGGTCTCGGAACAAAAACAATATCATGAGAGCCCACAGCGTTATAGCAGTGGTCAGCCACGTCTGCGGAGTTCTTTCTATCGTGTTTCAGATCTGTCTTGTGCTCGCGAACACGGTCCGATATATGTAGTTTCGTTTCCCCAATGTAACAATCACCACAAGTGCAACTTAGTTTGTAGACTCCAGGATATTGCATGTCAGGAATGAAATCCATCACAGATGGGATTAGATCATGGATGTTGTGTGCTGTACTGAATTGGACCTGGATCTTGTGTTTGTTTAAGATTTTGGGAATTTTTTGGTGACGCCTGCTATGTATGGTAACGTGATTGGTTTTGGTCGGCGTCTCAGGGGGTTGTTTTTCCATGGTTGGAGAAACAGATTTGCGGATAATGCGGTCCAAATATCCATTCATCTTAAGGACCTGGTGTATGTATTCCAGTTTACTGGCAAGGTGGTGTTGGTCGTAAATGCAGTGGGCCCTATGGAGTAGTGTTATGAAGGAATTCTTCTGTGCCAGATGGTGGTGGGAATCAGGTTTCAGATAGGAATTGTTGGGGCCGCTGGCCCCCGCGGTCCCTCCTTGCTGCTCGCCGACGGCAGGGGTTCCGTCGTTTGCCGACCCCTCGCTGTTCTGGGACCAGCTGCTGCCGTCGCTGGGCTCATCGCCCGACGGCTCCCTTCCCTGGTCCGCCCTTCCGCATGCTCGCGTGAGAGGCATAGCTCGTCGCCCGCTCTCGTTCACCTGTAAACGCTGCGTTATCTCTCCGCCAAGCACACGCTCTATACGGGGTCAGGGGTCGGAGGGCGAACGACGCTGTCCTCACACCGTGTGAGTCCCTGCGGCGATAGACGGAGCGGGTACCTGCGGACACACCGACTCCCCCCCACGCTACGAGCGCACACACCTGCATACAGCACCACGCTTTCACCCACTCGTAAGACCACTCGAGGCTGCGCTGGATTATTAATGGTTTATTCTCGGCGACTGCGCTTTACTGTTGGGTCAGTATCGATCGGCGTGGCAGGCCTACGTTGTCGTCCCTGGGTCTGTACCCGATCTATCGGAGGGATATGATCTAGGCGGCTCTGGACTCTCTAGGCTCCTTCCCAATACCCCCTTTACACTTACTCACGATTAGGTGCCCACGGAGTTCCGCTGATCCCGTCCCCACTGCGTACCTCGATGCGTCGCACGGACGTCCGAGTCGCTGGGCTGGAGAGCATCTCGTGGCCTGACTCCGGAGCAAGAGAGACCTCTACCTCGTTCCCTCCGCTTTTAATGCGCGGCCTTATTCAAATTATGCTCCTCCATAACCATGCTTTATGCGCAGCGCTTATTCAAATTATGCTCTTCCATAACAATGCTTTATGCACGGCGCTTATTCAAATTAGTCCCATTCTTATGCCCCTCCATATTAATGGGTGGTCGGTTTTACCGCGCCGGTGCACGGCGCCTTTGTCATGCCAATTAGCCGTCTCGCTCCTCCTCTGCCTGCCCCGTCGATACGCGTGTGTGTGGGGTGCGTTTCAACTGCGGTGGCCGAGTGGCCCCTCGCCGCGACCATGCAATCTTAATGCCGGTCACAGCACCGCGGTGCGAATTAGCGTCGGGGGAGGTCGTCCAATTCCCTGGCCGCAGGAAACCGTGAAGATATCCCGGTAAGGGCTTATCGGATAAAAACCGGTCAGCCAGGTGACCTCCCCTCGGAGCTCTATGGGGGGAGGGGGGAATGCGT